TTTTTCTTATGTTTGATCAAGTGTTTTTCTTTTCCGGACACAGTGTGTCTTTTGTAATTCCGAGCACTTTCGGCTATACGTTTAGTCATTATCAAGGATGATTTTTTTTTTACTTTTTAACTGGGTGTATGGGTTGTGTGTATGTTTCTAGATTTATAGAGATGTTTTATTTTCTGAACACAGTCAGCACATTGTGGCCATGTTCGTAGTTAATATTATTAAGTGTTGGCTTTTTCTTTTTTTATTGTTAAGGCTTCCATTATTTTTAATCTTTTTTTTTTTTTTTTACATATGTATGAGGTTATTATGTTTGTATTTTCTACCAGTATGTTTCGGATGTAGTCTGATAAGTTTGTGTGTATGTTAAATGGGTTCTAATGGACCTGTGGCCAGATAAGTGTAAGATAAGGCGTCTGGATAGGAAAAAAATTTAAAACGGCTAACCTTATCCTCAAAAATAACAAAACAGCAATATCAAAATTCAGCGAACGAATATTGAGAGTTCAAATGCACCTTAAGGAACTGTGTTCTTGATCAAACTGAATTCATAAATAATTACATCGGTCACACTACTACATGCCTATCCAGACGCCTTACGTTACAGAACATTTGGACAGTTTCTACGCATACTGTCCAAAAAAGAAAACACTTGTTCGAACTCAAGAAAAATTAAATAAGAAGCTTAATCTCAGTACCTTGTCTGTCGTCTTTAATGAAACGTGTTTAAGGATTGCTGCCTATATATATATATATATATATATATATGTGTGTGTGTGTGTGTGTGAAAAATGTGTGTATAAAAATAAATATACATGTGTGTGTGTGAAAAATGTGTGTATAAAAATAAATATACATGTGTGTGTGTGAAAAATGTGTGTATAAAAATAAATATACATGTGTGTGTGTGAAAAATGTGTGTATAAAAATAAATATACATGTGTGTGTGCGAAAAATGTGTGTATAAAAATAAATATACATGTGTGTGTGTGAAAAATGTGTGTATATAAATAAATATACGTGTGGTGTGTGTGAAAAATGTGTGTATATAAATGTGCGTGTGTGTGCGTGAAAAATGTGTGTATATAAAAAAATATGTGTATGTGTGTGCGTGAAAAATGTGTGTATATAAAAAAATATGTGTATGTGTGTGCCTGAAAAATGTGTGTATATAAATAAATGTGTATGTGTGTGCCTGAAAAATGTGTGTATATAAATAAATATATATGTGTGTGCGTGAAAAATGTGTATATAAATAAATATATATATATGTGTGTGTGTGTGTGTGTATAAATAAATATGTGTGTGTGTGAAAAATGTGTGTATATAAAAAAATATATATATGTGTGTGTGTGAAAAATGTGTGTATATAAAAAAATATATATATGTGTGTGTGTGAAAAATGTGTGTATATAAAAAAATATATATATGTGTGTGTGTGAAAAATGTGTGTATATAAAAAAATATATATATGTGTGTGTGTGAAAAATGTGTGTATATAAAAAATATATATATGTGTGTGTGTGAAAAATGTGTGTATATAAAAATATATATATGTGTGTGTGAAAAATGTGTATATAAAAAATATATATATGTGTGTGTGTGAAAATGTGTGTATATAAAAATATATATATGTGTGTGTGTGAAAAATGTGTGTATATAAAAAAATATATATATGTGTGTGTGTGAAAATGTGTATATAAAAAAAATATATATATGTGTGTGTGTGTGAAAATGTGTGTATATAAATAAATATATATGTGTGTGTGAAAAATGTGTGTATATAAATAAATATATATGTGTGTGTGTGTGAAAAATGTGTGTGTGAAAAATGTGTATATAAATAAATATGTGTGTGTGTGTGTGAAAAATGTGTGTATATAAATAAATATGTGTGTGTGTGTGAAAAATGTGTGTATATAAATAAATATGTGTGTGTGTGTGAAAAATGTGTATATAAATAAATATGTGTGTGTGTGTGAAAAATCTGTAAATAAATATATGTGTGTGTGTGTGTGAAAAATCTGTGTATATTATTAAATATATATATATGTGTGTGTGAAAAATGTTTGTATATAAATATATATATATATATATATATATATATGTGTGTGTGAAAATGTGTGTATATAAATAAATAAGTGTGTGTGTGTGTGAAAAATGTGTGTATATAAATAAATATGTGTGTGTGTGTGTGTGAAAAATGTGTGTATATAAATAAATAAGTGTGTGTGTGTGTGAAAAATGTGTGTATATAAATAAATAAGTGTGTGTGTGAAAAATGTGTATATAAATAAATAAGTGTGTGTGTGTGTGTGAAAAATGTGTATATAAATAAATAAGTGTGTGTGTGTGTGAAAATGTGTATATAAATAAATAAGTGTGTGTGTGTGAAAAAATGTGTATATAAATAAATAAGTGTGTGTGTGTGAAAAATGTGTGTATATAAATAAATAAGTGTGTGTGTGTGTGTGTAAAAATAAATAATGTGTATAAAAAAATATAAATAAGTGTGTGTGTGTGTGAAAAAATGTGTATATAAATAAATAAGTGTGTGTGTGTGTGAAAAATGTGTATATAAAAATAATATAAATGTGTGTGTGTGTGTAAATATGTGTGTGTGTGTGTGTGTGTGTATATAAATAAATATGTGTGTGAAAATGTGAGTATATAAATAAATATGTGTGCGTGTGTGAAAATGTGTATAAATAAATATATATATATATAAAATAAATGTATATAAATAAATATATAAAATATATGTGTGTGTGTGTAAAAATGTATATATATATATATATATATATATATATATATATATATATATATAATTATTTATATATTATATGCGCGGTACTTATTAGAAAGCGCTCAATATCAGAGATAAAGTTAACATATTTGGTTGGATAGATGTGAGTTTGTGACCCTGGGTTTCACGCTTTTGTCTGACGATCGCAAAAGCGTGAAACCCAGGGTCACAAACTCACATCTATCCAACCATATATATATATATATATATATATATATATATATATATATATATATATATATATATAAATAGGTAATAAATGTTGGTATATAATCCAAGTGGATCCTAATAATAAAAATATTAAAACTGATCCACAAAAGAGCTCATTGTATTAAAGGATATAAAAGAATGAATTAGTTTCAAAATGTTATCACAGGAGGAGATTTAAACTTCTATAATATTTGTCATCTTATTTCATTTCTTGATTATCTAACTCATCTAATTTTATAAATATTACTTTAGTTTTTTTCTATCTTATAACCTTCCACTACTTTTTAAACTCCTTTTTTTTTCTTTATCCTTTTAGTATTTTTAAAAAAATTTAATACATTCTGGGTATTTTTAAATTTTAAAATAGTTGATAGAATTTTTTTTAATTATTTTTTTAATTTTTCTTAATATAAACTATCTGAAATGAGTTATTGTTAATCTTACTATATTTTATTTGAAAGCATATTTTGGTAATTTTGAGTAGTCATAATTTTTTTGTCCTTATATAATTAATAATTTCGTATTATAAAACCTCTTTTTTTTTTTGTTTCCTTTAGTATCACTTCATCTTTCTTATAATTTTAACACCCCAAGTTGTGGTTTTATGTTAGGTTGAATACGTGTAGCTAATTTCCATTTAAGCCAGACAATATCCGCACTCCCCTTACCACCACTCGGGCAATGTTTATGTTGCCTGTTATGTATCACTTCTTTCAACTGATTGTTTTTTCATATGTTAAATTTTAAATTTCAAGTTTGAGTTGAGCAGATCCAACGTATTGACGTTAGTTGAGATAGTCTATGCTCATGAGGTCATTTTGGATTTCCCTGTTATGAAATATAATGTGGCAGCCGAGCATGCTGTTGTGAACCATGGAGAGGATTGAGGTTTCACCTGGTATTTCCGAGAAGGGATGAAAGCGTCCATGCTGGCTTTGACCCAAGAAGCTACGTTGGCGCAATTTTCAATTGGGAGGTGGAAGATGTCAGTCCAAGGGGCGTCTATCAATAGCTACCACAGAGAGTGATCAGAATTACCAAGAAGGCGGTATTGTGAAGCTCAACATGAGCGAGGAGAGGGGGTAAGAAATAGATTCTAGTAGGGAAGTCCAAGATTAAAGTTAGGGATTTTGGGCAATGGAAAAATTTAATGTCTGTATACCAGCAACATTAGTACCATTTAGAATGTTTCAGCCTCGTGTCGTGGTGAGCATTAAAGTCACCACCGAAGACAAAGCTATTCGAAATGGTTGGAGGGAAAGTGCCTTTTCTATACTGTCTATGAAATGGGGGATCGGCTTAATAGTAAAGAACAACATAAAATTGATCCCCCACTTTCTGTTATTCCATCCTTTTACCTTTAAGCATTTTTTTAGTTACTCTCATCCTGCATGGACTAGAGGAATGAATAGAATCTACCATGGCCAAGAAATGGGGGATGCGTTTAATACTAAAGAACAACATAAAACTGATCCCTCACAAAGTTACCAACAACGTCTATTGATAGCAAAATAACCAACAATATATTTTATCAGTCGTTGAAAGTATACAATTCTGTTCAAAATATTTAGATTTCGGCATTAAATGGCCCATAGACGTTGATATGCCGTTAAACAAAACCAACCAATGAACATGAAAAAACTTTCATGACAGTCTATATAATATCGTAGAATTTCTGAAAGAAATCAAACTGTATTCTAAAATATAATTTCAATAAAACTACAACATAAAACACATATATCACTGCCTCTAGTAATCATGTTCACACAAACATATGCACAAAAGTTGTGTATTATCTACCATGTATTCAACTGTGAACGCAGAATAACATGTATCATATTTTTATTATTTCAAAGCTCACAAGAAATTCTGTTAAATAAAAAAAAATCATCAACAAATCAACGTTAGTGGTGGCTGTTGGGATTTTATAAACGACGTTTGTAGATTCAAGGTGTCAAAATATAAAATATAAAAAAGATTTACTCACAAGATAATTCGGCATAACGTCCTTGTCGTCCTTTCATACTACTTGCCGGGTAGATGTCTGTGGAGAAAATATAAAAAGAAAAAAACAGAACTTTAGTCACCGTTCAATTCGTTAAAAAAATGACATGACTTTTGTAAATTCTCTCGTCTTCTCAACGAGAATAAATATTATTTAAATTTATTTCCACTATTTGTATTGTATGTTTGTAGGTTGTATAATAGAATCCAAAACAAAAGTAAAGCTGATTAGATAGTGGGAAATTTTGGTCAAAGACGCGTTTTGCCGGAGAAAGCTTATGGCATCATCAGTTTGAATAGAAGAAAGACAGTCTTGTGATCTCCGAGGATATGTTGGTGTCGTAAATTAATTACCCTAGCTTATCACTTCCTGGCATGAGACCTAAAGAGTCTGTATGTCTGTGTGCGTTTTTGTTTTATCTATATGTCTTCGAGCCGTTTGGTATAGAATCTACTATGGTCACGAAATGGGGGATCGGCTTAATAGTAAAGAACAACATAAAATTGATCCCCCACTTTCTGTTATTCCATCCTTTTACCTTTAAGCATTTTTTAGTTACTCTCATCCTGCATGGACTAGATGAATGAATAGAATCTACCATGGCCAAGAAATGGGGGGTGCGTTTAATACTAAAGAACAACATAAAACTGATCCCTCACTTTTTATTGTCCTGTCTTTTCATTACCTACAAGCACGTTTTTGGAGTTCTTTTTTTAACACCTCTCTGAATTGTAGAAATATATCATAAGAAATTAAGAATTACTTTAATAGTAACGAACAATCCCAAACTACTTTTTTAAAGTTAACGTCAACGTTTGACTCTGAAAGTTAAGATATATATTTATTTTACTTATTTACTGAATCTCTGGTATTCGCAGCCCATCTGGCTGACTCCAATGAATTCATGGTGGAGATGGGCGTAGGTCGATGTGTGAGAAGACACTCAGAAAGAGTTGGGGGAGCGGGAGATTGCTTGCATTCTTTTTGCGCAGAGAAGGAATATAACGATGGTTCTATTGTTGTCGTCGTCACTGTTAGCATCCCGAGCTTTCTCAGCGAGTCAAATTAAATCTATCCTTTTGCACTAATTCAGGTGTCCCTCCTCACCAGGGCTGTATCTTATGTCCTACTTTGTATTTAATTTTCATTAACGACCTTCCCGATGACATCAGCTCTCAACTTGGTATCTACGCTAATGACACAACCATTTACTCTTGTCTCTGTAGTAAGTCCGATCAGTTTGGACAAGATCAAAATAACTGCTGATGTCAAAAACTACCTTCAGTCTGTTGTTAACCGAGGCAAAGGATAGCTTGTAAATTTGAACGCCTGCAAAACTAAACTGCTCTCTATTGACCATCTGGGATACACTTTTCTATCTTACATTATCATGGCTTATGCTAACCTCTGGAAGAGTAACTCGTTGCCTGTTCTCGGCTGATGTGAATGGAAAAATTATATTGAATACATCGCTAGGTTAACTGCTAAGGAAGTTGATTCACTTGGTTGGGTTAGACAATTTTTCTCTCCAGAATCTTTCATGTCTATAAGTCTTTGTTTCTAATATTGCTGCATCATATGGTCCCGGGTCCATATTACGTATCTATAGATCATACTTATTATAAAACCCAGGTGTTTGTTCATTTATATATTGGATCGGATTTCCTACATTTTTCAACCGATTTCAACAAAACTTCACAGGACTACGTAAAATTACCATGCGGTGGTTCTGACTGCGCCACAAATTAGAAAAACACAATTGTTTTTGCACGAAATCAATTTGAAAACACGATTAAGGCATCGCTGTCGCGAGAATGAAAGGGGGCAACTCATATCGAGTTATGCTTATAAAACCCAGGTTGTTTGTGTGTATGTGTGTGTTCGTTTATATATGGGATCGGATTTCCTACATTTTTAAACCGATTTCAACAAAACTTCACTTTTTTTTTTGGCATGTAGTGTTTCTTATTGTCTTGCACACATTTTTCTTTATTTTTACATTCAGAATGCTTTAAAAATTCCATTTACAAGACAATTGTTTATAATAAAATTCTATTCAATCGGTAGACTCATAACGATTGTAAACAATGTTTTTGTTTGAATTTGGGTTTGACCAATTTGTAAAAAAAAAAGAAGCTAATTAAGACATGCGTGTCCGTCAACCTTAAACAATAATCTTTGTCAATTTTATTTTTCAGTCTTTATGATGGCGGATACTTGATCTATCTCTTACTGTTACATCCCCGGGCTCTACTGCTAGTCCTTCATAAGATCCAAAGAAGAATCAGTAATATCATTGGTTCTGATCTGGTGGCTTGGCATGAAGCACTTTCCCACCACCGTAAAGTTTCCTCCAGCGCCTTTTCTATAAATACTTTCATGGTAATTGTTCAGATGTGCTCTTCACTGTAGTAATTTATGAATATAAGCGCATTACTTGACTGGCGAGGAGGTCTCATCAATTTACACTTGAATCGGCTAGTTTTATTGTAGCCGTAGTTCTGTTAAGTTTTTTTTTTTCTCGCTTGTGGAACTCCCTTCCGGCTCCATGTTTTCCATCGAACTTTAATCTGCAAAAATTTAAATGCAATGCCAATCGCTATCTACTGTCCTCCTGTTTACTCTCTTCTCTTCCCGCTCTTTATTAATGTTTCTGTTCCTAATTCTTCCACACCCAGTAAACCCTTGTCTTTACAGCCTTGCTTGGGGTCAACTCGCTTAAAATAGAATCCTTAGCATTTTGTGTAGGATTGGCGAGAAAAGTGGTGATAATTATTATTTTGGAATGTGGGGTGGACTTTTTAATGCACCCAAGGAACTATTTATCAAAATTATCCTTTTATATCAGTATTTTAAATTGTCCTTTTCTATATGACGCGCCTTCCTGTCTCAACAAATAATAGCACAAATTATTCTTTACAATTTAGCTCATTTCATCTAAAAATCAAAATTCTTTGCGCTGTATTCAATCAGGATTTAGGCGATCATGGCTCTCTACAATTTCCATCCTATCGTAATTTTCTTTTTGTTATTTCTCCTAAACTTTGTTCCACCATCCATTTAATCAAACTCACTAAGTATATGATGCGCTGTTTTCCTCTGTTTCACTTGCCTTCAATCTCTCCTGTGAGTATCAGATTTTCCAAGCCGTCTTTCCTTATTATGTCCCCTAAAAACTTCAACTCTCTCTCTCTTCCTGATGTTAAATATAAGTTTCCTTTTTGTTTCCATTTTCTCTAAAACTTTGTCGTTACTCATATTCTGTGCATGTTATCCTCAGCATCCTTCTGTATACCCACATTTCTGTTGCTTTAAGTCTCTTCATCCTTGCGGAGGTTGTCCAGCATTCACTGCCATACAGGAGGTCAGATATCACGTAACACTTCCGTACTCTTTTCTTTGTTTCTAACAATTTTTTCTGTTTAATACTTTGCTTAGGAAGGCATCTTTGCCCACCCCAATGTGTCTTCGGATTTCAGTGTCACACTTTCCCTCCTTTAGTAAAATACTTCTCAGGTATTTAAATTTTTACTTGTTTGATTTCTCCAATTTGTAATCTGTATCCCGGGCTCATCTTCTTACTAACAACCCTGCATTCTGTCTTTTTGCTGTTGTTTAGTCCTTTCTTCACGCTTTCTCTCACTACCATCTGTTTTAGTATTTTTATTTCAGTGTCTGCCATCAACACTGTACAGAACATCAAAGTAACTGAATAAATAAATTCCATTTATTGACATTTTGTGAAACTTCGACTCTCTTTGTCAGATCAGTCTCATTTTATTCCTCTTGGCACTGGAGATTTGTACCTCCCTAAACAAAATTTGAATATTATACTAAAATAAATGTTGTGAATGTTTAACTGAATGCAGGATAATCTTGGGGCAAGAGTTTCCCTACCAAAATAAGATACAATTCTTCTTGATAGATTTATAAGTTTATCATTCGTTCTTGCTTAAAATATTGCTGCCACACATGGTCTGGTACTCCTGCTATATATTTAGAAATTCTTGAAAAAAATCCAAAGAATCCACACCGTTATTACTCCTGACCTAGCATCTCGGCTTCAGTTACTTTCTTCACTGTGCTTTTTCTATAAATAATTTCATTGTAATTGTTCTGATGAACTTTCCTCTATAGTAAAATTTTAAAAGTTATTTTTATTCCCTCAATCCCGACAGATTGTACATATGTGAACTAATTAGGACTTCATAGAGACTTTGAGGTATTATGGTGACTGTAATAAGAATGGTAAGAAAGAATATGTTGTTTTGGTGTAAGGAATACTACGATATGTTTAGATCAGTAATCGTGGCTAGCTAAGTTTAAGATAAGACGGATTGAAGACCACCCTTCCCCTATCTCACACTTTTGGCCTTGTGCCACATTTTTTGAATTTTCAAAATAAATATTACTTTCCTTTATGGTACCTAGGCTTCATTTTACAGTTGAATTGGCTAGATGAAACCGTAAGTTTTATGCTAACAGTTTCTTCTAACGCACTTCTCGTTTGTGGACCTCTCTTCCAGCCAACTGTAATCTACAAAAATTTAAATGCAATGTCAATCGTCATATGTGTTCTAGATTTCTCGTTTATTATTCTCATTCCTGCCTTGCTTGGGGTGATATTAAAAAAAAATCTGCCGCAAATAAGAGAGTGAGAGGTGAGGGAGAGAGACCCCGATTTTATCCCATCATAATGAACCTTTGTTCTCTCAAAGGATCTCTTTGTCCTTTACGCCTATTGGGGTTCACTCCAAACACCAAGTGGAACTCGTATTTACGATCCGTCGTTAAAGATGCAGGAAAAATGGGCGGTTCCTTGTACTGCTAACCTAATTCTTGCTGATAAACTCTATCATTACTACATCCTGATTATAAGCAAAAAAACTAGACACTATTGCCATATCTGGAGCTGACCAGTTCTCACATTTCTTCATTGATAGTTCAATCCTTCTATACAGCAGGTTGAAGAGGAGGGACCAGACTGAATGCGATCCCTAACAACCCACCCGAATATTC